GTTATAAAAATCCGAGCTAACGGCGATAATCCACGCGCCAGCGGCGACGTTGTGGGAGAGCAGGAGGAGATGAAGGAGGACGATAAACGTCCCGGTTATCGAGAATAAAATCCGCGTTATTGATATCTGGAAAGAGACGAGAGAGAGAGAAAGAGAGAGCCAGGTCGAAACTGCGCTCGCTCACGGTTTTACCTTCGCTTGGCGTGACTGCCGAAAGTCGGACGAAGTTTTCGAGTTATCGAACGCGGCGATATATATGCTCATTGCCTCGCGGCAATGGGATACGTGCTCTGGATCTGCAATGCGCAGAAACCGGAAGTATCTGTTTCTCACTCCTCTTGCCCTCCGTGAGAAAACAAACGCGGTGGCAGAGAGAGAGAGAGAGAGAAGGCTTTAAAATTCATAGCTTCGCTTTTTCGATCATGATACATGTTGATGTAATAGCAAGATAAGTCCCAAGACAAAAAGGGATTCCCTCTCGAGGGGGAGAGAAAATTTCTTGCGGCAAGTTTCTTGTGCGGAGCGATTATTATCTTCTCCCATATATATCCTATAAATTGCGCGACCGGGATCGGAAACTTCTGTCACGTTCCGTATTCCGCGTATGATCAGGAGAAGCCGTGTATGCGCGAGAAATTTGCGCAGCGTTCGTGCGCGCGAACTTGGCGCGCGTTATAACTAAACTAGTTTAAGAGGAGTCAAGTTCTCGAGCGTGTCTTTCACACACAACGTGGAAATCAACGGGCGGGCGTATTATTGGAAACGCGCTTCTCCCAAAGTGTCGCGTGCTCATTGCCGCGTCGCGCTGGCTCTGCGGATGTCTTCGGCGAGTGGTTGGTATTGGCAAGGCAAGTGGATATTGTCGCTTTGTGGTCGGACCGAAACGATCGGGATTCGACAAGAAAGTGCCGCAGCAGTTACGATCGAACGCGCGTCGCACGATTCTCCTCGACGGAACTTTTCCGCGTGTTTGCTAGTCTTGTCAAGCACGTCTACTTGCTAATTCAGTTCGTTTCATGTTTTGGTAAACAGTTATTTTTCAACATTGTTTTATTTTTAAAGCAATTTTTACTTTTTTTTATAAGTGATATTCTTAAGATTAAGTTGCTAAAAAAACAATCTGAAATAACTAAGAAGCTTATACTCGAAGATATTACATGTAAAGATAATGTTTAGTTTTTTTTATATTATAACTATAGAAGCAGAGCAATTGTCAGATAAATATTTTATCTAGATCAAACATATAAGATTAAATAATTGTGTTATTTGATTAAAAAAGTCAACTTGTTTGGATTATTCCAATGGAGTATTTTGTTTATATGAAATAAAATTGATTAAATGTAAAGAAATGCTCTCTGTGTGAGATTTAACAAAAGGTCAGAGTTGAGAGATGGCTAAAGTTTAATCATGGAATGACATTATTATACTTTTCGAAACACTGAGACAAAATGATTGGCAAACACGCGCCGCGCGGGTCAGTGTAATTACTTTACTAGTGAAAATTTGTTGACCAGCGTCAACTGTTTGTATCAATAACACGAAAGCGGCACGAATTAATAAATGCACACAAACAAGCTGCGCCGCCGTGTCAAACAATAATACAACCACGCAACGATAGAGAGATTTTATGCACGCACATATAACAGCAATCGATATTTTCCTATTTATACAATCATTAATTTATGGCAGCCCCATGCCGTAATTGTTGTTACATTACCGTATCTAACGTTGCAGCTTTCAATTGATATCTAAACGACGAATACAACATTGCAGAAATAGCGTTAAATTTATAACGAGTCGCGCGCTACTCGAATCGTTTGCACGAGACAAGTGCCTTAAACCATTACGTGTCGCGCTAAATTCTTTCTGACGGCGAACGTATCCGTCGATAAAAAACAAAATCTCGCACGCAGCGAGATTTTCACATTGCGTGCGTACGCGTTTATTTACAAAAAGGTGTCGAAATAATCCGCGTTGCGTCGTAAATGCACGGCCGTCGGTTCGCATCAAGGCTGTTGTCACGTAGTTGTCGCCCGGTCGTACCCTGACATGTCGAGGCCGCTGCGCCAGTGGTTATGGTCGCGTCATGGTCAGACGTGACACATACGTTTGCCGCGCTTCGTAGCGACGCGCATGGTCTATCAGCAAGTCAAACGCCACACCTTACGGAAAATCCGTATCGGACATCTGGCGAATATCGCGCGTGCGTGACGACGAGAGTAAAATAACTTCGAGAATAAATACGCTCGCGCGTTGTTATCACGCGTCGTAAATACTGAAAAAAAACGAAAATAAAACAATCATTCGTCGAGCCGATCGTCGTTTTGTTTCGTCGCGACCGGCGTTGGTTTTCGTATCTGCAGCGCGATTTTTTCTGGCTTTAAAATGACGTATTAAATGCGACACATGGCGAATATCGCGCGCGCGAGAGAGCGCGAGCCCGGGATTTACTACCTCGAGGTAAATACACACGCGCGCACAGGCCTTTGGGAATATCCGGACTATCGCGTATCATAGCCGGCCAAGCACAGTTGGCTTTTAACGCAACAGCAACAGTTTCCGGAAACACACCGGGCAGCGGCGATAATGATCGACGGTATCAGTGTAGATTTTCATCAAATCGGCCGAAGCGCGTGATACTATTCAGTTGAGGGGGAGGCTTCAGTCGTTTAGCCTCTGGAACGGGCGCGCTCACCGCCGCAGGATTATTCTCTATTATCGGTGCGGTGCATATTGACGACGTCGTAAAATTGGAAGAGAAAGAGAGAGAGAGAGAGAGAGAAACTGCATATATCCTACTGGCTATATAATCGCGAACGCTCGCGGTCCATTATCATTTAACTGAACATTATAATTCACTCACGGAGTCGCGAATAGCTGGCGAACACGCGTCAGAGCTAATTCCAATGAGTCCTTCCGCACGAATTCCGATTGTGGGAACGTAGCGCGGCGAAAGTTTCGCGCGACATCTCAGCTGTGATGAGCGCCCGCACAGAGACAGAGTCCGGCTATTTCCCGTTGTACCCGCTCGCCGGCAACAAATTACATAATCCGGCGGTACAGTAGATTCGAGGATATAATGGTTCCGTAACAAATTCAAATAGACAAAAAATTGTTATTACAACGAAAATGCGCAAGAGCGTTGTTATATAAGCTCGAAAACCAATTATGTTAGGAAAACTAATTTCGCGCGCTGCAAATTTTGGTTGTTCGTTAAAAAACGTGATGTGCTTTTTTTATTTCTCTCCCCCCGGCGGGATGACAAAGAAGAAGAGAAAGTGTGTGTGTTTGTGTTTGCGCATAATCCTCTAATTAAAAATTTATTCCCGCGCGAGAAAAAGAGAAAACGTTATAAAGACGAGATATAAAAAAGCACGCGGGTTTACTCGCGAGTAAAGAGAATCATCTTAAGCGTTGTGTTTTTCTTTAAAATATTGAAAGATACACATACGACCGCGACGGAGGTTTATGTATGCAGCATTTGATGCATCCGAGGAGAGTGGTAGATACTTAGATTGCCGGAATCGCACGGACGCGCGCAATGGCGAAATACTATATTCTCGCGCGGCAAAGTAAAACCGCTCCGCATCGGGGAATATTTGCCATGACGTACGAGAATGCACACCCGCGTGAGAGCATAAAATATTAGCGCGCGTTACTTTACCTTTCAATTTTATTCGATACGTTTCATAGTTTCTTTTTTTTTTTTTTGCGAATACAAAAATACATCCGACAGTTTTATTCCGCGAGGCGCTTTTGTACGCGACACGTATTGATGCCAGAAATAACAGTACGTGTAACGTTACCGAGGTCGAGGTGTGTTCGCCACGTTCTCAGTAACATCGTGCTCTTTTCTCGTCGCGAGAGATCAAGCGCGCGATCAACGAAGCTTAAGACCCGGAGATTTTTCAATCCTGTTTCTCGCGCTCCCGTCCGCAACGTCAAACTTGATCGCCCGAAGTTTCCGGTCGCTCGTTTTCCCGCTTTTACTCGGTAATTACTTTCTTTTGCATCGTTGTAATTAGCTAATTAGCAATCCACTTAATTATTGCTCGAAAATGGCATTGAACGTAAGAGTGGCGGAGTACGCTATTAAAAATTCTCCGAGAACGCGGATGCATTTCTAAATGTCGGGAGTTTTCTTGGTTCCGCTTTTCTCCCTTTATTCGTCGGTGTAATAATTGTAAGTACCTCGCGTGCTACATTTTAAAGCTGAGCGCGGACGTTTGTTATCCTCGCTGGCCGCTGTAAATAAAAAATGCGACTCACAGTGAGCGTTGGGTCGTCGTCGCTACGTGTACCCGGAAAAAAAACGACGAAAGAGGAAGGAACAAACGAATTCTGGGGACGATAGTCCGGAAGGGATGCATATTTAATAAAGGCGAGTCACGTTGTAGATAAAGCGACGCTGGATGTTAAACGCACCTGCGCGCATCGAAAGTTCGCCATGAATAATTCCATCCGGCTCGTTTAACACGCTGCTACCGGCGACGTCAGTCAGTTTCCCCGGGCCACGTAATTGACCTTGCATCCCGCGACTTTATTTTCCTCCCCTCCGTTGTCTTGCCGCACGTTGCTTTCCGTACGTACACTTCGCCCGCGTGATCGATCCGCGAGAGAGGGAGAGAAGGTTGGGCGAAAGGAAACCTGATACCCCAGATATCAAGTGTTTGCTCTTCGAGCACGGGCTGCATCAAAGCCGCGCTATCACCCGGATATTCGGCGCGATTCAACCCCGTCGGGAAAGTGTAATCCGTTGATAAAATATAAAATAAATCGACCGGGATACCGAAGAAAGATAAAGTTTATTTTTTAAGTTCTTCACTTTGATGTTGCAAGTTGTCGAACGCCAATTGCGCGTTACACTGTTTCGCATTTTTTGTTCTCTTTTTCAAAAAATGAAAGAGGAACCTTTGATAGCCGAGAAATATTCGGCGCGTGCTCTATCTCGTCTATGTGGGACACAGCGATATGTTTTTCAGATAATGTGATCGTTTCAGGATGGTCCAGCCTCCGCCTTGCCGTTGACCCAGACTCTGTCGAACATTTATGGCCGCAGATCGGCCACTCCTGATGTTCCGGGCGTCGATGTAGACGAGAATCAGGTTCGTAAATGTGCGATTATGTGAAATTGCGAATTATTAAATTATTACGTTTGCTTTTTCGCGATTGAAGTACCGTCGGTGCAAACTCACTGCTCGCTTCGCTAAACTTTTCCGAACCGCTTCGCACAAAACTAAACATCATAACATACACCGCAAATATTTGTTTTTAAATCTAATACCGACGGTTGTTTAAATTGATAAGGCTATTTGGAATTAATTCCAGTCTCATGGAAATTCATATATATATATATGTATGCATATGAAAAATTGATTAATTGATTCCACCCACGCTCTCGGTAATAGTGATTGTTCGTGGAATTATGCGATGGTAAGCCCGTTCTCTGCAACTTGAACAGAGAGGAGATCCCTGGCTTACCAACTCGCTCATTTGAAAGATATTCGTGGTGGAGGCACTACTGTTCAGAACTCGTTCGCTCTCTGCTGCGGTTGCAAGCCATTTCAGGATCTTGTCGATATAACACAGTTTCCAAGAAAATTCAAAAGTCTTTTTCAACTTAGACCCATCAGAAGATTAATTACATGTTTACCAAATCGATTTTGTAAGTCAGAGATATTTTATCTTTTGATCTTCGATCTTCACCCAGTTATTTGCACAGCTGTGACTAATTTTAGACTCGTGAGCTTCTTCAGTGAAAATCATATCTCTAATGTGAATTTTAGACAAACTCTAATATTCATCTTAGAAATCAATGTGAGTTTATATGCTGAATGTACGTGCAAATATATTAAATATATATAAGTCTGAAATATATTAAATAATATGTTTATATACTATTTGTCCATATTTTTATATATTTACTAAATATAAATATATAAAATAATAAATAATATATTACTTATATATTAAATACACGTAAATAATAAGATAAATACATGTAAATATACACATAATTTTATTTATATAGTTATTATATTTATGTATTTAATATATTTATGTATGTAAATATTATTTTCAAACGTGTGTAAATTAATGAAATTAAATTCAATTCAATTCGAAAATTCACTTAAAATATTTGGTTTGCATTTCATACGTATAAAATACTCAATTTACTTTTGTTAAATATTGTATACGTTTTAATGAATTTTTGAAGTAAATTTAATTCAAATTTGTATCAGTTTACACGTTGAAAAAATATATTTGAACGTACATCCGTAGAGATTCGTATTGACCTCTAATTTAAATTGTACACGAACTTTAATATTTGGAACTCTATCTTTTTGCTGTAAGATAAGAGCATCTGCCGCGAGTCTCTAATCGTACGGAAGAGAAACGTGAGAGACATGGCGACTGTTTCTTTTCTATCTACTTCGCACGACGAGCAACGTAATATATTATTGATTCCTCCCTTAAAAAAAAGCGCGTACGTTCTCTCTCTCTACTGGGTGTTGTCTCTTAAATTTTTAAATGTGAGACATAGGCGCGAGGCGCGAGTGAAAATATGAAACCCCGGGCGTTGTTGTGCGACTGTAATACAAAATTGCCGGGAGTTTTATTTTTGTCACGCGATCCGTGTAAATTCGCGCTCATTTACATCGATTTGGTTGTATATACGCGACGTGCCGCGTCGGAAAAATCGACGGATATGACGTATGCCGAATTTTTATTGCCACTTAAAACTCTACTCTACCGTGTCGTAGTTCCTGTCGTACTTGTCCGTTCGAGTATCGTGAGCCGGGGCGAGTGAAACGAGCGATTTTCGACATGGGAATAAAAGCGTCGATTTAATGTACATATCTATCTATCCGTGCCATTGCGCGCGCGGAAATCGGAATGAATATGCGCAGTGCATACATACGTAAATCTCGATGAATACTCGATGGATTGCGTTTTCACTGGTGTCATCAGCAGTTTTCAAACTGGCACCGGGGTTCATTTTACAGGCATCTTTTTCATCGGAAACGAGCTCCGGTCGGCGCATCAAATGATACTTTTGTCGATTTATTATCGACAGGAAATAGAGATATTAAAATTTTGCACATGTATGTGCGCGCGTGTGTGTAGCTACTGATTGTCTGTGCGATAAAAAAAGAAGCGACTTTCCAGATTTTCCTAAAGACTCCTCTGCCGGCTAATTAAGACTAACTACCGCAATTTCCGTCTTTCCGCGACTCTCTCGTCGCTCTTTGTTACGTTTCGCGTGCCCGCAATTACATTAATACGAGTCGCGAGGCGCTTGCGAGTGGCGCTTTTTCGAGTCGAGCTCCAGGACGACGTTGAAAGTTTAACGTGAAAAGAGCATCCGTCTGCTTATCCGAAAATGGGTGAGGGGTTTATCTCGCGGGGGTTAACTATAAACGCAGAAATTAATTCGCTTTACGTCAACGGCAGACTGTAATTTTCCGCCATCCTGCTCTCCTCGTCTTTTCGCTCATCCCCTCGTTACACACCGCGCAAGATCTCGCCGCCGCCGCCGCCGTCGTCGCTTTATTCTTCGCCTCATCGTTCTCGGAACACGATCCGCGCCACGGTTCTCGATTATCTCCTCACGTTCTTCTTTCCTTCCTATCGAGCCTCGAGGTTTTCCGAAGCGCCCGGCCATTGTGATCCCGACATTGTGCGCGTAATGGACATCCGATTTCGCAAAATGAAACGGCCAACGTAGGAGGAAGAGAAGGGATTGTTCCCGTGAAAAGATCCGCTGCCGATATAGACGGTTGCTGTGCGCGACGGTTAATTAATTCGCGCGAATATTTCGCGCATTGTCGCGCGCAACTCCGCCGCGAGAGCGCGGCATCCGGACGCGACAAGTTAAATGATAAATCGAACAAAGCTCTTGTACACGCTTTCATAATTTGTCGTCTGCGCGCGGTTGCCTATCGCGTCCGCGGTGAATCCACACGGTTGCTGAAACGGTCATTGTTACCGTTCTCGCCGCAACATACCAACGGTCACGACGTTCCAATTTATGAGCCACTGAAAATCAAACGCGCCCGTCATTATTGATGCCGTTTTGCGGGCCGCGTGTTTGCCCGAACTGCTTGTTCGCCCAAAGGCGATTACATTTATAACGTATTCCGTTTGATTTGAGAGTGATTTAATTAGGTAATTCGAGAACGGCGCGTATCGATTGTTTTGAGTTTATTTAATCCATCTATGGCGATCGAAATATTGATGCCACGCATTTGTGTCGCGCGAGGAGAAATGTGTCCATTAACGAAATTTTATTATTGATGATTTGAACCACTTAACCAATCTCTGATTGGCGTCAAGCTCCGCGTTTTTAATTAACTGCGTTAAAAATATATACTGATTTGCATGCGATGCTGTAATTCCAAAATTGAAAAAACAGATTGAAACTGTCATTCTTACGCGAGCTGTTTCATACAGAGTGTCTGAAATATTTTCACTCAGTCAAAGATAGATTGGGTCAAACTGAACAGAAAAGTCATTTACTATTTTGCAATATTTATTGTGTTATTAATTAATTAATTAATATGAGCGCGGATTTTGCAGGCGTGTATGATTTGTAGCTATGAAAATCAGCTGATCGCAAGAAGCTGCGTCACACGCCACTCACTTGTTTGTTCCGTCTCTTGCTGTTAGGAGATTGCATGCAGTAAGCAATTTTCTTTTACAACTGAAAATTTACACGCAGAATCTGCCTACTAAATTGGATATTTTGATATACGAAATACAAACCAAGCATCCTCTGTGAATTTTCGAATTAATTCAAATTCCCATGTGTATTAATTTACACGCTTAAGGGAAGTAACTAAATATACATATAATTACACGTGTACATTCGGTATATTGGCTCGTACTGATCTTACTATTTAGTTGTATACAAATTTTCACGAGTTTTTAAATTGTTGTAATATACTTTTCATACTCCAACTTTGTCCAAATTTTTCAGACACTCTGTATGTAGCTCATTTAATTTGTCAAATTTGGGTATATCTCTCTATTAGGTTACTCTTCGCCGAATTGTTACAACGTTCAACATGAGCTGCTGTGCGTTATTGTCGATCCAAATTGAGTTTGAGGGATCGATCTCTTCCGCCGCGTAAGTTAATTAAGAGAGAGTTTAATCAGGTCGACATACACACATGTAAATTTGCGAAACGTAATTTCTCCGGGCTTCGCTCTCGGACATTATGATATTGCTGTTGTCTGAGAATTACACTCGACACAACAACATGACCAACGCGATGTGACACTTGAGCGCGGGGAAGGGTGACAATTGCGCGGGTTAATAGCCGCGAAATAAACGACGCGACTCATTGAATTTATAATCAACGCTCTTTGACGGTGATTAATCACCTTAGACCTTAATTTTGAAGAATTTCCTCGAGAAAAAAAAGAAATTATCTCCGTGAAGGGTCCTTGAAAGCGACGGCCAATCGCGAAGACGCTTTAGCAGCGGAATTAGACGGGGCGACCGCCTTCCTCAAAGCCTTCCTCGCGCCTATTCATACTCGTGTCGAGCGGCATTTACAACAGTATCGACGCCGACGTCCTCCACGTCGAGGCAAAAAACTGATGCGCGGTCGTGATCACAGGTGCAATTAAGGAAAGTGTGTAATTATACAAAGTGTATCTGACGAAAGATCATAAGAGTAACGCGCCGATCGTGAGGTGTTTGAAGTTTGTGAAATTAGAAAAATCTTTTATACGTGTTACGTAAAGAAATACGACGATTTTTGCAAATTGTAAATTAAAATGACGATTTTAACGTTTCTGCGCTTGTGTTTACATTAATTTTATCGGAATGATTTTCGCTCAGAAGGAGCTCTCGGTCTTTTCGCGGCGCTAAAAACGAAAAAAGAGAAAATCTATTAATTGACGCGGTCGCGAATATCCGGCCGCGCGATCGCGAAAGCAATTATGTTTTTCTTGGAAGGGGATATATCGCGCGGAATGACGCGGCGAGAGAAACGAGGGATCGAAGCGATGAAAAATTTCCCCCGGAAATGTCGTGAAAAAGGAAATAAAAAAATCGAGTTCGTAACTTCCGGTTGAGCGAACTCGGGCGATATCTGTCACTTTGAAAGTTTCGCTCATTTTTCTCTGAACGTTTCGAACGCTCGGAGAAAGAGAGAGAGAGAGATCGCGCATAAAGCGCACGTTGTTCGCAAAAAGCCGCGAAATTGAGAAACGATAACACGATAAATTAAGGTGATTTAATCCGAGACGATGTATATCGAGATATCGCGATGTGTGTTCGTTTCGGGAAGGGAAGAAAGGGAATATTGATGGACGTTGTTCGCCGAAGCACAAAGTCCGAACTTCTCGTTCTTGTTTCTCTCGCGAGCGGTTTCTCCATAAACAATACTCCGCAGTGTGTTTGGTATTCTTAGGTGGCTCGCGTAAGCGCTTGATCACACTCTCTCTCGAAAATTTTCCTCCAACCGTGCGCGCGTGTTGTGTGAATTACGCCCGGAGCGAGCACGCGGTGGCCGCCTAAACATTTATCTATTTTTGCGCGACTGTCGGTGCTGCGAATACGTTCGATAAAAAACACGAAAAATATGCTGCGCGCGAAATGCGGAGTTACATTAAATTTAAAATATTTTTAAATAACAGGAGTTTAAAATTGAAGCGCGAAATAAAAGATAACACGGTCTGAATAACAAATGTGACGCAGTGAATATACGGGTGAAAATTCTAGATATATCTTTTTTTTAAACATCTAAATTACTTAACTACAGCGTTATTGTTTGCCGCGAAGGGAGCGCGTAAACATTCACTCGCTCTTGTGACACACGTTCCGATTTATATTGATATGCAATGATTAAAACAAAACAAGAAAAAAACAACAAGGTTTCGCTATACCGTTTGAAAATCGTTTATTAAGAGCGCGCTAATGAACCGAATTAACGCAATTAACGCGCTTCACTGGATAGCACTTTGAGCGTTATTTTCGCAGTCCGCGTCGATTCTCGGCATTAATGCGCATTCGATTGCAACATCATTGTCAGCAGCTTTGTTCGCGTTCGCACAATGCACTCGACAATAATGGCCGACGCAACTATATATCGGGAGAAGTAAAGCGCGCGCAGGGAGGAAACACAAGAGAGGAGAATATAAAGACAGTCCGATACTTATGACACGCTTTCAGAACACGAGAAGCGAGAGAAAAGGAGGATTTGATTCGTGACATATATCCCCGACGTTCTCTTCGCCATTGGTATCGATCTCCAACGATGACGGGCACGCCCGCGTACTCGATTGAAAGCACTCGCTCGAGCAGCTCCAACAAAAACGGCAGCAGCTTAAACGAATCGCGAAAATTCACCCCGAAAACCGCATAAAAGTTTGAAGCGTTTATTGTAAACGCTCTCACCTCACACACGAGAGCGAGAGGACTAAAGTTAAAAAAAAAAACTAATAATAAAATTAGAGGTTTAAAAATTACAAGAGTTTCTCGGAATAGAATTAAACTTATCATATTGTTATACATACGTGCAAAAAAAGTGCGCGGTACGAAACAATTAATTTGTTATATTTTTTTTACGCTTTCGTTGCTTCACCTCACGGGTATTTTTCCCGTGAAGTTTGCCGCGTTCGTGGCAAATCGAGTGGATTTTTGACGGACGGCCGCGCATTGTGAAAAACATATAGGTATATATTCTCGAAATATCACGCGCCAACTGTTTTTGCACGATGATAGACTGGGTGTCGATAGTACGTCACTCAAGGCGTCGATTCAGTGATTACATGTTCGCCGTGCCGGCTAAAATACGAAAACGTCGAAGAGCGCGGCATCAACGATCGAAACTAGGTTTGTCGAACAATTGTAGTAACGCGATCTCGTGCGACCACGAGATGGGCAGAGACGCTTGCGGATGCTGTTGGAGTCACGTAAGTGATCCTCTGTGCGAGCAAATGTCCGTAAGATACGGGATCAGATCGTAAATAACAACGTCAACGTGATAAAGCTAACCTTTTGCGTTGGATCTAGAGCTGATTCGTTTATCGAGATAGTTAATTGATGCGATAGTTAAATCTTCCGCGGCTTCTGTGTTTATTATCTTCTATACAATGAAGGGAAAAAGCTAGCGGATTTTTGCTTTTGTGTAACTTCTCGGTTTATGCGGGACAAGATTAAGGCGAAATCCTATTTCTCTGGTTTTCTTGTTCCAGAAAACAAGATACGATAACACGGGGGTAGAAGAACAATTGCCGCCGCCGCCGTCGCCACCCCAGCTGAAAGAAGCGGCTCAACTGGATGGAGTTCCTCGACCAAACTCCGTCGACCGTATTCTTCATTCAGACGGTGTTCAACACATCGGTCACGACACGGTTAACAAGGTAAGTAAATTAAAAAAATATAAAACATGTAAAAAGATCGACAGTTAAAAGAAGTGAAACTTGTCGCAATTAAAAAATCGGCATGTATCTTTGTTTCAAGTTTTCTTAAAAGAGAAGTAAAAATTATTAAACATATAAAAGCTGCTTCTTTTAATTTGATATTAAAATTTAGCACGTAGGGTTAAAAGAGCGATATTATATTTCTTGTAAGCTGAGAGAAGACTGACAATGAGAGTGGGGCCTATAAGCCAGGCCTATAAGAAAATGTGTAATCGCTTTTTTGCTCTGCAAGCCAGCGCAATGTCCATAGCTGGCTGTTCGATTTTTTCCAAGTCGACACTTGGACTTGTGCATATAGCACGGAATAGAACCATGTCCACGTTTGAACTTAACGTACGTACTGACAAATCGTTCGTGGACATCGCTACGTAATTGTATCAACCATGAACATTGCGCTGGCAATTTAGCATTTTTACAGAGCGGTTACACATTCTCTTATTGGCCGCTCTCACAATCAGTCTTCTCTCTGCTTGTAAGTGAATGTTTCGGAGCATGTGTGCGCGAGAGCTTGAAATGCTCGCCATCTACGGTTTTATCCTTGAAGATACTCAGCTCTTATCACGAAATCGATAGACGCGGCTCTTCTATGGTTGGTAACGGCAGTCGGAAAAGAGACTTCGCATTACCGACTGCTATGCAATTTACAGAACATCGATGATTTGCACGTTCGGTATCCTCAATCCGCAATATCTACTCTAGCACATTCCAATATTTCGCGTATCAACAGAATTAAATTATTATCAAAAAATCCAAACCTATTAAAAAGTTATCGAAAGTAAACTGCAAACAAAAGACTACTTTCTTCTAGGAAAAAATAAAAAGTCCGAGAATGTGGTTTTTTAAACATTTTAGGGTGTTTTCATTTTTTATGTACATCTAAATCTTTCCATCTAGTTATATCGTAGTAATTTTAATTTTTAAATATCAAAAATATATTGTGGAATGTGTGATATATTTTTACGTACACTCGAGCTACCCCGAAATAGCTTGTCGCACCCTCCGCGAGAGGGCAGAGCCGAGAGACGAGAGTAGGGTTGCTTCGGGATTCCCCGAGAAGCCGCGCGATATCACCACGGTCTGTCACGTGGTAAGATCGCGGTCTGCATTATCGCGGCTCCCGTCGACTGGCCGCAACACGTGGACAAAACAGTTCGGCCGCGACTTTGCAGCTCGTCGGCCTCGAGAGAGCTGGACATAGGGATCGGGGCGGTAGTGGCTGCGGTTCCGATGGTGGTGCGGTGCGCGTCACGGTGCGTTTTACATCTGTTTCGGAATTGAAACCTCGGATGCATGGCAGTACGGAGGTACGGGTAGAAACCACCCTGTAAAAGAGGGTGTTTCCCCGCGTTGATTCCGACCAGTCTCTCGGACACTCGGCCGCGAAAAACCGCGAAAGGCGGTTATTGATCACGCCTCAGAGTTGCAATTTTTCGCGCTTGCCGCTCGATAACGCGACCGATATCACACACGACAGAAGCGGAAAGGACTCGCGGCGCTATTCGGATCGGTCGATAATCAGCGCCTGGTGAAGTGCATCGTCCGAATCGTCGTGCGCGCATATTAATTGCCGCCGAGGGGGTGACCGGTTGCTGAGAGAGAGAGAAAGAGCCAGCGCCCCAGACTTGCCGCCAGCGATCGCACGCAGCAATTACAATGATAGCCTCGCTCGTGTAAATAATTTCGGGAATTAGGTTAATTAATTCGATACGCGCGCGCTTGCGAGTACGTCATCGCGTCACCATCGCTCGACTAGATAATTATGCGGTTTTAATTACGAATAGATTAAAACATAATGCACTTGCGTTACATTAACGCTCGTATTGTTTTCTCTTCGAATTTTTGTTTTGCAAAAGTCTGCATACGTCCGTAAGTGCAAATATATTTCATGAAATATTTGTGCGAAGGATAATTTTACGTTACACACGTCTTTGCAAGTTATTACATGCACAGGAAGACTCGGATGAATGCGAGTTGCCGGGCACGTTAATAATTCGCAAAGGTATTTATCGATCGGCGAAACGTGTTCTGCTATTATAACTCGAACAAATTCAAAAAGTAAGGAAGAACATTTTCCGCGATCACACACACACAGCGTCGCGAGTGCTCGTTAAAGAGCAAGTTTCAGCTACTTGAGGCGACGGGAACACCGATTATACGAAGGTAACTACAAACTCGTCGCGCGCGCCGAAAAAAAAAGAAAAGAGAAAGATCGTCGTCGTTTCAACGTTATACATAATTTATGTCGCGCAATAAATTATCCCCGTCATCCGGTCTCGTACGGATTCGCTACGCTACTACGGCGCGATAATATTGTCTCGTTTTCCCGCAAAACGAGACGGTAACATGCAAATGTATTTTCCGCGACTTTTTCCTTTCGCTGTGTGTCTTTCCGGCGCGTCTTCTCTCGAAATTTTCGTCATCGCGATTTATATCGGTGAAATATGTCGAAGAAATACATTTGTCACAATTTCTTTCTTCTTTAAGAAAGCATTTCGTCGTTGCGACATTGTCAACTCTCGAGGTTGTTTTAAAGCAACCTCTTTTTCGGACAAAAACGTGACGAGAAACGACTTACACGTGCAAAACCATTCGATTATAAAACTATTTGACTTTCATAAATCTTTATTTACCAAATTAAATGCACGAAAACTATTCGAGACACGAATCGATTGTCGAATATGTTTTTATTTCGTGCACAAAAACGGCGATATATCTCTTCGAAAAAAAAAACACGGATTCCGAGTTTTTCGCTTCCATTACGCAAAATCGCGGAAAAAAATGGCCCTGATATAACGAGAAACGGACGGATTGATGTGGGAGGGATTAAGATAGATAATGGTCACAGGAACACAGTTGAATGCGTTCCGCTTGCGTCTTCTTCTCCGTGTGCGCGCGATCTCGCCGGATATTCGTCCTCCGTGTGACCCAGAACGACCTAGATACTACCTCCGGCGTTGCCCCTTTTCGTGGCGCGCGCTTCTCGGTCAGCGAAATGTTCGACGATAAAACTCGCTTTCCTCGGGGGCGCGAGACCTGATTCTTAAATCGGAGAAAAGAGACTGGCGCGGAAGAATTCTCAATGCGACCAAGATAGCGGAAAACGGGCATTGAAAACAACTATTGTCGCTGTAACGCAGCTCAAAAACTTTCTTGTAAAATGTCGCGAGATAGCGTGTCTAAATATACTCCGGGGGAGAGAAAAATTTGATTAGATCTAATCTTAATTTCTTTACATCGCGCACTTCATGTAAAAAAAAAAAAAAGATTATCGGGTTTAAAAGTAGTTTTTACGCGACTGTGTTGTGCAATCGCGAGAGCGGTCATTAATGTGTACGCGATGCATGTCATCCGTGCACAAGTTACTGGAATTACAGTGCAACGAACTTATTGCATGCATCATATCGGCCTTCGCTTGGCACTAAAGCACGGCGCGACTCTCAAAACACGTCCCGATTTACGTGTAGATGTCGTAAAAAACCGACTTAAATAATTGTTCGACAATCGCAGCTTTTATCCCGCGCGCGAGAGCGGCTGCAATTTCCGCGCGCGTTCCGTTTTCGTGCGTGTATGCAAAAAAAGTTGTGCAATTTGATCGGCGATTTTGCCTTGACATTTTTGCTTCGTTCTGCGCTCCGGACTAAAAATGTTTATCGCGATTTTTTGCGACAGTGTAAACGATCGCGATCGTTTAATTAGCATAAAACGATGCAATCGAAATTTCGCGGCGCGAAAAATCGTGAGACTCGGATAAACACCGCACGTAGCTGAACATTGCACGAGGTAATTGTAAATTTCGAATCAACCCACGGTCATCTGCGACGCGTGATTCGAGCGAATAAAAGGCACGACAAAATTAAATCGCGATTCGCGTCCGCGCGCTCATGCCCGCTACTATACGTGCGCGTTTAATCTGCTTTTATCGCGTCGCGCGTTACAATCGACTTAACGTGCCGTGTGTTGTTACGTTCTAGCTCGTAATCTAATCGCGATTAGCCCCTCGCAACGCGTGCAACTGCGCAGATTGACTCGGACGAGTCGATTTTTAGTGCAATATCGCGTTTCCCGGGTTTGTCCTTTGCCAGGATTTTAGTGGCAATTTAAATGCTGTCGCGGTCAGACACCGCGTACGACAAAAATCGAACGAAGAACATGAAATATGCGAGTTACGAAAGAATCTACGGTGTATGCACAGTCGCCAAAAAATGAGTTGCCGTAGATCGCGAACGGGAGAGCGTAATTTTCTTTGAATATATTTAACGGAGCGTTCTCGTGATACAAGCGAATCAATCGTGGGACAAAAGGGAAGCGGGAAGAGGGCGGGAAGTAGCCGCGAATACACGCGTGCCTCGTGTATGGAAAACGAAGACGGGGAAAGCAATGCTGCTCGATAACACGTACACGAAAGCGAGGGAACTGCGCGCTCCTTGCGACTTCGTGACTCACGAATGACTCTGGCGTGACTCGTTTCCGACTACCTCGTGCTGTTCTTTCTCTCGCTTTTCTCAATTATTCTCGCTTCTTCGTGGAAATAGCGTGTAATTAAAACATCGTTTATCAACGACAAACAATTGTTTTTTTATTATAAATTTTATACAAAGAGTATATTTATTTTTACAACTTAAATTAGAGGTCAATACGAGCCTATGTGCTGGATGCAAGTATATATTTTAACCCTAATGTAAACACGTCCGAGCGATTTCTGAAAATGAGCAAATCTTGTTAATTGTTTAGTGGAAGAAATTTTAAAAAATAACAAATATATCATTTTGGCCAAAATGTTTTTTTTGCAATAGGGTTTTTAAATTTCATATAAGGGGGAATAAATTCGATATTTTATATGAAATACAAATCGAGCATTTTTAATGAATTTTTGAAGTGAATTTAATTTGAATTTTTACGTGAAAATTCGAATAAATATATTTGCAATAAAAAATATATTT